GCTTTTTCCAATTTTGGATTGGTGTGCTTGTTTATTTGCAGTTTTTTGTTTGGTAGGTTGGTTTGGTTTCTTTGTCTGTGTCACAGCCTGGGCTGTCCTAGAACTTATTCTGTAGACAAAGCTGTATACAGTGTTCTGTCTGCACGCATCCCTGCCCGCCAGAAGAGGGCACAAGATCTCATAACAGATGGTTGTGAGCCATCATGTGGTGGCTGGGAATTGAACTCAGAACCTCTAGAAGAACAGCCAGTGCTTTTAACCTCTGAACCATCTCTCCAGCCCAAAATGTGCATTTAAAAAAAAAAAAGAGGAAGAACAGAACTGAGCCCCCATGTGTGTCGGCAGCAGTGAGTTCCTGAAAAGGGCAGAGAAAGTGACTACAAGGGAGAATTTAGCTGAGCTGCAGGGGGAGGAAGGGAGGAAATCATAAAGAGCAAGCGTACAAGTGCTCTCTGGCTCTGGAATACACGTTGTGTTTCACCACCTGGCTCCAGGGGGAGACCCTTGCTAGCATCCCCTGAGATTTCCTCTGTCCCTCACCAGCATCAGCTGAAAGAGTTCCGTGTGGTTTGCAGGTCTTGCTGACTGGGTCAGGGCAGCGGCAGACCTGGGTCCCCCTCCTTCTCCAAATGGCAAGAATAGCAGCATTCATTCGCTGGGACCTCTGAGTGGGTGGGGCATGGAAGAAACTATGCCAGTCATTTATGTTCGTGGGCAGGAGGTCCCAAATAAGAGATGCAAGACACATCTCAGTGATAGGTTTTCTCTAGGTCAAGTGAAATCTTTGCTAATCACACCCCAGCAGGCCGCTCAGAAACCCAATTCTGGGAATAATGGAGCCCCGGCCTCCTCAGGATTCTCTCAGTCACAAGTGTTTTCTGCAATAGCCGCAGAACACAGGGAGGTTCCTTGGACCACAGCATCCATCTTCTCTGGTTACCATGGAAACACCCCCCCCCCCAAAGAATGCCACCCCTTTGTGGCAGGAGACTGTTGCTCTGGCACCGCATTTGGGGCCCTGGAGAATTTCATCAAGGCTGCAGGTGCCAGAGTGTCCTCCGGAAAGGATCGCAGTGAAGAGGAGCCCACCTGAGCTCCATCCCCACGTGTGTGGGACACTCCTGTCCATGCTGTTCTCGGGGACTCTCTCCTCTGAGAAATGGGCAGAATCTATTCAGTGATTTCAAATCTTGACATCTGTGCCCTTATAGTGGTAATCTGCTCCGTAAATCCCTTCAGTGAGCCTGGTCCTGTGGAGCCGAGGAGAAAAGGAAGGCAGGAGGTACCCGGCAGGCAGGAGGTACCCGGCAGGCAGGAGGTACCCAAGCTGATGCCCATTCCTTTCTGCAAAGCCAAGCTCCTGCTCTGCCTGCAGCTGCCCAGCAGTTTGAAGAAGCCAGCAACAAGGCCACTTCTGGAGAAGTCAGTCCAGATCCGGGGTAAGGACACCGTTCCTAGAGCAGGGACAAGCGCTGAGCCTGGAAAGTGGACTCCAGAAGACATTTCATGGAAACGATGCTGACCTGACCGCAAAGTGCTTTGGACTTCAGACCTGGCTACATACCACCTGGTCCTCCTACAGGGACTAGAAGCAGAGCCAGATGAGGGAACTGATGGAAAATTCTTAGGAGGCTGTGGCAGAAAGACCACAAGTTTGAAACAAGCCTGGGAAGCATAACCAAGACACTTTAAAAAAAAATTTAAAAAGACAGGCATAGCAGTTCATGCCTATAATTTTCCAGGCTGGCCTCGAACTCACAGAAATCCACCTACCTCTGCCTCCCGAGTGCTGGGATTAAAGGCATGTACCACCACTGCCCAGCCATGCCTATAATTTTAACACTCAGGAAGTGGAGGAAAAAGGATCATGAGTCAGCCTGAATTGTGTGAGACCCTGTATCAAAAAAAAAAAAAAAAACAAACAAACTAAGCCGGGCGGTGGTGGCGCATGCCTTTAATCCCAGCACTCGGGAGGCAGAGGCAGGTGGATCTTTGTGAGTTCGAGGCCAGCCTGGTCTACAAGAGCTAGTTCCAGGACAGGCTCCAAAGCTACAGAGAAACCCTGTCTTGAAAAAAGAAAAAAAAAAAGATATGTATGATGGTGAACTCCTTTAACCCAGGGCTCTCAAAGCAGAGGCAATCCGATCTTTGAGCCTCAGGCTGGTAAAAGCAGCTTTCTTCTCAGCTTAGCCATAGGAGGAAGAATAGACGTTTAACGATCTTAGGACCATTGTCAGGAAAACAAAGGCAAAGTCTGTGTTTCCTTGGCAGCAGTCAGTTGCTCTTGGTCCAGTGGGTGGCAAGTTGATCATGACCTCTGTACTAGCTATGTGGGCCTTGACTTAGGCTAAAAGGGTCTCTGCTATTTGGGGAGCATTTCTGCCCTTAGTTGGAAGGGGTTCATCAGTCAGGCCCGTTCCTGGGATCCAAGACAACAGAAGGAGACACTGAGGCAGGTTAGGCCTTGAGGTGTCGGGCAATGGCTGGCAACTTCTCAAGGCTGCCCTGGGGATCTGAACATTGTGGTAGGTGACCTTTGACAATGTTATTATGACTTAGGCAGATGCAACACGAAGCCAGGGGTGCCAGGCTTTTATCTTGCTTTTAATTACCCATGAGACCTCTGCGGGGCCAAGTGAAGAGCTGGTGTCTTTCCCCAAGATCCGTCTCGAACTCCCTGTCACCTGCCCTCTCACCTGGATCCCACCTGTGTCAAAGTGTGTGTGTGTGTGTGTGTGTGTGTGGCAATCATGGTTTACAGGCAAGGAGGCCAGTCAGATCTGGCACCAGACACTAGCACGCCAGGCACGCACATGGGCTCCAGCTGGCCAAGGGCCTGCAGGAAGAGCTGGAGAGTGGCTTAGAGAGAGGGCCACTTGCCCTGCTCTGCAGCAAGCCAGGCCCAGGAGTTCCCTCTGCAATCCAAACTCGCTCTGGTGCTCCCACACTCTGAGCCACGGGGGGTTCAGCCTGTAGCCAGGGGTTGGCCATTCATTCCCAGTAACCCATAATGGAAGCCTACATGGCCATTCACTGCCTTCAATATAGAGCGGAACAGACAAAACTGTGCTGTTTCTTAAGCTTGCCTCCTTAGCAGGGGATACCAGGGAAGAGGCAGGACCAGATATCTGACCTGTGTATGTTACAATATTCCTCACTTACAGGGCATTAATTTGTGCCCTGCTGCCCCTGCCTTGAACCTTTTAACTGCTTTGAACCAAGGCCTTGGTGTTTTTGTTCAATGGTGTGGCTAGCAAATTATGTAGCTAGTCCAAAACACAGGGAATCACGGCGCAGCATGATAAATACCATTATGCCAGGCATGGTGACACATGCTTATCATCCCAGCACTTTCCAGGTAGACACAGGAGAATCGGGAGTTCAAGGCCGGCCTTTACACAGCGAGTTCAAGACCAGCCTAGTGTACGTGAGACCTTGTCTCATAACACCAAAATAAATAATTCTCAAATTGAGGACATGCAGACAATCTTCTCAGAGCCAGGGCATCCCAGGTGAGTCTGGAAGGATGCCTGGAAGATGTCAAATGCAAAAGAGGGAGGACCGACCACATTCCAAGCAAGGGAGGAACAGAGGCAAACACAGCTCTCTCATCTTAGAGGAGCTTTCTCAAGGGAGAAAGCTCCCCTAGAACTGCTGCGGGAGAGAATGTGGGGGCCGGTGATGAGCACAGGGTGAAATGTGGACCGCTGACAGCCAGGAGAATTCTAAAGACACATAAGTGTGGTTCAGGGGTACACAGGCTGAGAGAGGGGAGCCCACACATACACGCAAAGAGAAGGCATGAGCATGAGGAGCCTGTAGGGGAAGGGTAGACTTTATTCAAAGATATGGTACCGAGACAATTGCTATGTACAAGGCGGAGGGGATTAGATCCTGGTCTCGCACAGCACAGAGAATGGAACTCTGGGTAGGTTTCTCAAGTAGAGCCACACCCTGAGTTGTAAAGGTTCCCAGGCTTGCAGGCTGGGACCTTGGGTTTTCAAACTTGGATGAACAATATTGAGATGTACATGAGTTATAACACTCCCTTTCCTGATGCCAAGGGAGCTAAATTATTTCATCTAAATTTGGTTTAGAGCCCTTGCTCCATGGTACATCCTATATTTGAGCATTTGGGAAATGGAGGCAAAGAAAGCCGGGCGGTGGTGGTGGCGCACACCTTTAATTCCAGCACTTGGGAGGCAGAGATGGGCGGATCTCTGTGAGTTTGAGGCCAGCATGGTCTACAAGAGCTAGTTCCAGGGGCTGGAGAGATGGCTCAGTGGTTAAGAGCATTGCCTGCTCTTCCAAAGGTCCTGAGTTCAATTCCCAGCAACCACATGGTGGCTCACAACCGTCTGTAATGGGGCTGGTGCCCTCTTCTGGCCTGCAGGTATACACACAGACAGAATATTGTATACAAAATAAATAAATATTTTTTTTTAAAAAAAAGAGCTAGTTCCAGGATAGGCACCAAAGCTACAGAGAAA